CACACTGACAATTTGGGGTTTTAGGAGGAGTTATGTGCTACTGTATCTTGCCAAACAATTAGTAAGGTCCCACCCTGGGGTTTGGTACTATCATGCAACTCCATACTTATGCCGCATTCAAATCATATTATTTAGACCGTAATTATTATTATTAGTCCAGCTAGGAGTCAGAAAAAAACGTTCATGTCAGCCTCCTAGCTAGTCCTTCTGAGCCAGAGATATCAAGGGAGAAGCCTTTGTGAAAAGAACTTTACACTGTTTGTTTGTTTTCGGTCTCCCTTGTTTACAAGCTGCTATGAATAACCAACACTCCAAAAGCAACTCATTTACGCTATTTCAACGGTGTGACTACAAGTCTAGCTAACCATATGTGAACACACCAAAGTCAAATAATGGGAAGGTTATCCGTTTATTCCCCCCATTCTGTGGACATTGTTTAAATGCAGTATTACTATGCACATGAGACTATCAAACTTCTCATCTGACTCTTTAAAAGAAGGCAAATGGACGTACCAATCTTTTTTTCACTCCCAACTCGTTTACCGTCGCTTGGTCAGTGCCCCTCGGCATCGACGATTGACACACGGTAGCCCCCTTTATCTACTGTATGCCTTCAACTAACTCCAATGAAAACCGTCCCACGGCATTAGTGGCAGTAAGAGCGTGTGACGTAGTACCAAGTGGGTGAGAGTCTGCTCGGGGCTGGCGGGATGTTTGGTGGTTGGGTCAAACAAACACGAGACTTTCATTCAGGAGACTGGCTTCCGTGTCACGTGCAAAACTATAAGTTAACATTTACATTTTGTCACCTAAGTCATTAGTCACATGAGTTGGTAGTGTTGTTAATCACGTACGTCTTTTTAGTCACTAGTTACTCACTAGTTACTCACTCTGTAGTGTCAGTCAACCACATATTTTTCTCAAACCTTACTGTTTTTGTTGCCGAAAGCTAACTTACTGTGAAGATGGAAGTTTATTGTGACAGGACACTATGCATGTAATGAGCATATATTGACACACCGTCCCGACACACTGAAAACTAAGGCTAGAGCAGCACCTTGTGCGTTGATTTCCGATCCCAAGGGTCACTGACCAAGTGGCAGTATTTGACGAGTTGGGAGTTGTAAAATAGTAACAAAATGCAAATTTAAAAAACGGAAAAATTTAAATCCATGTTCACAAAACCAATACATTGCACATTTTGTGACTTTTTCACGGCCTGCCATGATACTGGGCTGCAATGGGTTGGACGTAGGCTACTGCTATTGTATGTGCAGAAATAATATAACTATTCCTTCACAATGATGATTATATAAACTATACATAACGGTTTATAGTACAATAATATAAGGGCCTTTTCAACAGAGTACAAATACAATATCTCAAAAAATGTATATAAAAGATAGTAACACTAAAAATGACGTGCGATAAAAACATTTTTAATTTTAATTTTAAATCGAATAAATAATCTCTAAACTATTCCTAGGAGTGGCATGTATCCGCCAATAAACGCTACTCCCAGGACAACTCGATGACCTGGCCTTATTAACCGATCCCAGAAGGTGACTGAGTCCAGTCATCTCATTACGGTGACATAGATGTTGTTGACCTGCTGGAAAAGATGGTAGGTGATGTCACCCAAATCTATAAGGGGAGATCCCCCCCTAAGCCCATTCGCCTCTCACACCCTTCCCTCTGCATGGCATCGGAGGAATTCTCAGAGGGTTGTCAGGAGGAAATGCAGCAAAGAGCAAATATATAAATACCTCCTCTGGGGGTCGATACGTTGCTGGCCAAAGGAGAGGAACCAAATGGGGAGTTGCTGCCCTGCTGGGGGGCATGACATTTTAAAAAGAGACAAAATATAGACAAGAGTGATCTTAGAAAGACTCACATGATCACTGCCTTTGGTTTCATTCCCTCACACTGCCTTAGAAGGAGAGTTCAGATACAGAGAGCATACATTACTGTACCATCCTACTGGGCTCAGTCACAGTCCCATTCTTTCCAGGCTGGAATAAATATGAATAATTCAGGAATTGTTTGCAGCGTGGGGGTTGTCGTAAATTAAGCCGATTAAAATGGCAAGCACAGACTTTTGGCTAATTCCGATGTCTCAAAGCGCTCTTGCAGTATTTATAATAAAGCTGAGAGGAGGACGGTGAATGTCACTGACTGCAGGCTGACACGAATACAGCAACGTGCATTATCTGGTGTCTATCTGGAAACATGCCCCGTACTGTAAGACCTGACCATGACTCAACATAATAACACACAGTTATGACACAATGTCACCGGTGTGTTTGAGTTAGTGGGAAAATATAGATTTTTATTAAATTCTCGTGTTTCATTTAGATTTTCATTTATTCCGTTGGTTTTAGTCTTTAGTCTTTAGTTAAGCAGTGTCACACATATTACGTTTGATACACAATATTTTCCTAATTAATACTAGATAAAGGCAAGAAGAAATACTTGAATTAAGAGTAGCACAGTTGCTACTGTGGCCACAAAAGTAAGTTAAAAAGTATAATGGTGAATGCGATATTATTACACAGCAATATCTAAGTTAGCTATATCTAATGCATCTTAAGTTTGCGAACAAATTAGCTAATAAATTACTGGTCATTCCAGACCATGTAAGTCTGCAGCACTAAAATCCTGGAGTGTATTGAATTGTGCAAGAGTGTGCTTTATTGTTTATGAATTTAAAGTTATATGTGTAAAAGGAAGGTTGTTATTTCTTTCAAATGTTTATAGTATCACTTTAAATGTGGTCTTTGTTTTTATTACCTTTAGCTCTAATCGGGCAAGTCTCATGTACCCTAAAGATCTGGTCCGTGATGCTTGATTCCAAAATTGACCAATTTCTAAAGTATACAAATTAAAAATGTCAGCATTAAATATTGTAATTAACTTTTAAAATTACAGTTAATAACTGCACACTTTTCAAATTATTCTCACTAGACCAGGTATTGTACTGATTACTGCCCGGTGCAAATAACCCCAACATGATGATGCTAATTAGAGATAAATGAAGTGTGGGATTTAGCGTACAGTAGCTCTTGTTTTGCTCTACATAGCGTGGCCCCACGATTAACTGGGCCTGGGTTTTGTCACAGAGGTATTTTGGTGCCTCTGAGGTGACGCTGCTAACTCTCATCCTCTCTCTGCCCTCCTTTTCAGCTCAGCCCTCCCGTGCGGTAGATACAAACTCCAACTCGCCATGGTTACTGTCAGCCAAACAACAACAGTGCAGTGAACCTTTCTGCCTGCCAGACCAAACTACATGTGAGCTCGCTCATATCTGCACTGCATCAAACACTGCTCGGGCTAATTTTATTCACCCCTGGGAATTAGTTCTCTCTGCTCTCTCCTGTTGTTGTCCTTTGAAAAGGGAGCTGCAGCCCTGCGCTGCTAAATCAGCAGATCTGCAGAACACTTGATTCCAAGCTTCATGCTCAGCATCCCAAAGTAAATGTTCCCAAGAAACTTTCTACTTTAGGCCCCCAGTTATCAGAGTCATGGCATTTAATTTTGGAGCATGTACAAAGTGTATCGACGTTGAATAAGATCTCTCCAGCAAGCTAGAGAAATATTTTACAATAATATTTCTAAGAGAAGCTACGCTCATACCTCAGATATTTCCTTCTGCTCGGTCTGTTGGCTCAATGGAAAGTATCTGTGTTTGGGTAATTTTGTGCTGTAGGACATTTACAGGTGAAGACAAGTGGAGCTTTATCCTGCTGCACATGGGGAAACATCTTATTAAAGTTTCCCCTCTCATCCGCAATGCCACAGCTACAAGTCTGGCTATGAGGGGCTCCTTCACTGACACCTTTATGCGAAAGACAGTGTGCACATTATGCAGCCCTGTTGTGGAGGTTGGGTGGAAAATTTTGCTGGGTCTGAGCTGTGCTTTCTTTGGCACCGGTGGCCTCTGGGCCGAAGCTTATTCATCTGTGAACTGACAGCTTCACCTTAGCCCAGGAAACGGAGGAGCATGATCCCCCGGATCACCGATCTGCTGGGGGAACATTTATAATGGTCTTCAATAATTAATTTGTAATGTAAGGGTTGATGTTGAGAGAAAACTGCCTTTGTGTGCCTTTTTGTCTTGATAATTTATATTTTGTATGTTAGATTTTTTTTGTGTTTTTCACCATCCTCCTAAACCAAGGCATCAAAGTCAGAGAGAAAGAATTTAGTAATTAGGCTTTTTTTCTGTTTTTTTCAAGAGAGCAACTGGTTGGGAAATTACAAGGCAGCAGGTAGTGGCAAAACCCACGTTACCTCCCTCTCTTGGCTCACGTCACTGTTTTCAGTAACACCAGTTTGGCTTCACCAAAGATACAAAGGAACATTCATTTTTGGGTGAATTCATCCAAAGAGAGATACAAGCAAACTGAAAAACACAAAGCTAAGCTAAGTAAGACAAGTGGAATATTGTTCTGCTTGTCGGTGGGTGGGTGTCGGTGGGTGTCACAATGAGTTGGCTGATTGTGTTGCTGAACAGCTTTTTGGTGGTGTTACAGTAACATGGAATGGCAGAGGCAGTTAGAGTTTAAGGTCTCTTCTGGTCAAACTTCAAACTCGGCCTATGGTAACGAGAAAAGGCCCAGCAGGAACATACCTTCCGACTCTGGCATCTTCTCTTCCGCCCTCAGGCCTCCACAGAAGCCAGAAACGAGACAAGATACCCTGCGTCTAGCAGTAGCAAGTTGCGCAATTCATATACAGCTGCAGTGACTTGCATTGGACAAACCTTTATGAGATGAGGGCACAGAGCCAACCGACCAAAAGCTTCACTCTGTATTATAAGTAGAGCGCTGAACTCAGAGTTCAGGATGTAACATATGTTGGGTATTTGTGTTGGATTTCATAAAACACTGGTATTTCCTGGTATTTTCTGTCCGAGAGCCTTGGCATCTCCACAGAAATACTTGTAATATGTTACACAACACACTACAGTGCAGTGGTCGCAAGCTCTTTTGTAAACCAAAAGGTTTACAATGCCCGTCCATGCCCGTCAAAATAAAATAAAAGCTGTCATCAAGTCAATGATGTACCATTGCAGGTATAAGCATAGCAATTACCTTGACGGCAAAGGTTTTCATTACTCATACTCCGGGTTGGATGCTTCAGCTCAGCATACATGCAAACTCTAGCACTAATGCTGGGATTTTCCAATGGCATCTGCCATGACCGGGCTTTTCTTCTCCTCTGACATCTGGTTTCACGGCGGCTTCAGATGGCTCGGCTGGGCCAGTGGCGGTTGTTTACGGACATTCTGAGGCCTTTGAGGGAGACGGGGAGGTCCGGCACATTGGCCCACTTCATGTGAGAAGTGAAATCAAACCCAGATAATTATTTGCATATGAAATTAGCTTGCTAGCCCAAGTACATATAACTCTGAATGTGTTAGGAGAGAGACGTTTTCTCCTGACAAGCATGACACAGTGGTATGTAGGTGTTTGAGGAAAGCCTGCCATAAGCCTCAATAAGGTCTTGCTATGACTCAACCTGCCCGTGCCTACACCATAGAAATAGAATAAGAGAAGAACGGACATTGAACTGTTTTCATGGTCATTTGACTGGTACAAAAGAAAATGGCGATTGTTGTAATTGTTATGGTGACCATACAAGTCCGTGATGTGCGGTAGCAGCTCGCTGGGAGCTCCGAAGGCGTATGGCTGGCAAGTTAGCTAGGTAACTAGCTTGACATTCTCTGGAGCAGCAGGGAGTGAGGTGGCCACCAATGTTTGGCCGAATTTTGGTAACCAGTGTAGCATAAAAACATGGTGGAATTAGCAAGTTAGCTTACTAGCCAACTGTCCACTAGTTAGCTAACTAGCATGTTAATTCCACCATAATTTAATGGTGGTTACAGAAAATAAGCTCATCTGGCAATAGCAATGGGATATTCTACGCTGTGACAATAGTGTGTGGATGAATCATTAAGTTGTGGGTGGTTGAGTTCAAGAAGCAGCCTTTGTGGGTGATCACTGCTGTCGTGCTCTTTTAGACTGTTGCTCTAGCACTGCTGGGTCAACACCTCTTTATTGTAACTAGACCGAGAGAGAGGACTCATCCATCGTTCAGCACTGAACAAAGTTTGCCTGCGGGTTGTAAGCTCCTGCTTTACAACCTCATCTCGCTATACATTCTGGTTTACGATAGCGTGGCTCAGAGGCTGGAGCCCACCCCCTCACTTGAAACAGCTGATTTATGTCTGGTCCTGGACACTTGTGCTCTGTGGCTGGAATGCAGGGAATTTCAATGACCTCCTCCTCTGCCTGTCCCGTCCACAAGCAAACAAATGGAGCAGGCGCCTGGTTGGGCAGATGAAGGCCCCACCGGTGCTCCCACTGCAGGGCAGGGACGCAGAATGTAAGGAATGTCAGAGGCGAGAAAATAAATCCATTCTATCTGTCTTTCTGTCAATCTGTAGCTCTTTCTTTACTTGCTATCGGCCCTGTTTGCCTTTTCGCTTTTGTGCTACTCTGTCTCCAGCTTTATTCGAATTGTCAGCTCTTGCATTATCTTGTACAATCAGTTTTTGGAATGATCTCTCAGTTCGGGTGTATGCACACATCACCTGCCGAAACTTAATAGGACAAAATTAATTTATTTGTGTTACATTTTTAAAAACACAAATATGCATAATGTTCTGTTTTTTTGAATCGTGGCAAATGAATTATGTGACAGACAAAATAATGCTTTTTTTAAACACACCTAAAGTCACTAAATGCAATATGTTCCAGACTGTGTAAAAAAAGCGAAGGGCCTCAAAGTTATTGTGCATACATAAGGTAGAAATCAACATAAGAACACAAATCTATCATGTAGCATTTTTACAGTTATGTAAAATCAAAAGGCACTATGGCTGTGGTTTAGCTGTAACTCAATAGCACATGCATCTTAAACATGCGGCTGACATGGCAAACACAAAGAAGAAGAATTAACACTCCATAGAAGCCAGAATAGTTATGTGTTTTGACAATAAAAACATTAGCAGCTCCGTCTATTGAGCTCATTTTCATCTTAATGATATATCCAGACACCATTTTGATTGCTTTTTGAGTCTTTCTCTCCTCATGGCTATAGTTTAGAAATTCCCTTTCTCCTGCTGGGGCCTCAACGCAGCTCAAGGCCTGCTCTTCGCTGTGGGTTTATCCATTATGTTGAGCACGTCGTCCAGGATGGACGGGCCCAGATCGAGTTCAAGGGAGAGGAATGACCCTGTGATCTGGGCGAGGGAATCCTGCGACATGCTCTTCTCCTTGGAAAACTCAAAGTCAAAATCACAGATGCGGCCCTCCTCCACCCCACTGTCCCTGTCCACCCACTCTCCATTGCACTTTGAGAGCTCCTGCTTAAAGCCCAGATTAATGTCTTTGTTAAAGTGTCCATAACCATTGAAGTTGCCATTGCCATTGAGATGCCTGCTGCCATTGCAGATCTTGTTCTGGAAGTCACCTTTTCCGCTCAAGCTGTCAAAGCTGTCTCTGCTCATGTTACTGTTCAGGCTTCCATTAGCTTTGAAGGTGCTGTTGCTGTGACCGTTGATATAATAGGATGATGGCTTGTCAAACCTGGGTTCGCTCTTGTTTATTTTGTTAGCCTTGGCTACCGCCTTTGAGGTGGACTTATGTGTGCTTTCCAGCAGATCCAGGAGGACGTCCGGCTTCGACTGGATAGCTGCGGTGGGAGACGAAGGTTCGCTGCTGAAGACGTCCATGGAGCGCAACAGGGCGTCCATCTGCAGGATCTCGACCTGTTCTGCGCTGTCAGGCTTCATGGGAGACCCCAAGATGTCCTCCAACGGTTCCGGAGGCATTGGGAACACAGTGGAGGAGATCAGGGGAAGGGTAAGTGCCTGGCAGCCACCAATAGTTGGGAGGGAGATGGCGTTCTTGAGCACCGGAGAGGGGGTCTCCACAAAGGAAGCATCACCGGTGCTGTTAGCTCTCAGAAATTCACTTTGGATGCCGTACTGAGGGTTGACGTCTCGCTTCCCGGGTAGGAGTTCATACTTCCCCTGGAGGAAAGACATGTCTCCAAAGGCGTCTCTCTCGCCGCCCCTGCCAATGTGGATGGTGTGTCGGAAGTCCCCAAGTGGTGGACTGATCATGTCCGGGGACAAAATATCTCTGAGGCGACATTTCTTTCCCTTCTTACTATTGTTGGGTTTCAGGTATATGGGTGCTTTCGCTGGCATTGCTGTAACTGCGGAAGAGATCTCAGATATGCAGGGATAGAAAAGTCGGAAATGCTCTATAAGTTCTGGACGTTACAGTTCCCCGAGGTAGAAGCTCCAGTTACATTCTCAGTAACACACCGGTCAGACAGGACTCCAAAAACAATCTCAGCAACTGTGGCATCGATTAGGTAATGGGATTCCAAGCAGGACTGGTGATGCCCGGTGTCCGGCGTAGAAAGGTCAAATGGCCACTTTCCTGAAATCAGAGATGAGCAGAGAATGTGTCAGCGTTTTGTTTAAATCATGAACTCAGCACTAAAACTTTTCCTCAATGTTCCTGTCCTGCCTTACAGAAAAAACGAAATCTGGACTGCAACACAAGTCCCACAAAACAAACTCTGGATGCTGCAAGAAAAAACAATCTGATCTTCATCGTGCATCTGGCGAGCTTAGAAGGCAGAGCAGAGGAGGATGAGGCCTGGGTCTAAGGCTCTATTCACATTTCCACACATGAGCCTCCTTTGGCCTCCACAACTTATGGATGTGCTAATGTGGAACAGCTGGACCGCAGATTGGGAGAGGAGAAGCAAAGCGGGACTTTAAAAGGATCAGAGCGGGGCAGCCTGTTGTACGAACAAACTACTGCTCAGACACGCACAGAGATAAAAAGAGATGCACCAGAGGGGAGCAAAGAGGGGAGGGACGAGGTTTAGGGGGTTTCGGGGAATTGCGGGAGAGAGATAGAGTGAGGGATTATAGAGAAAGTGGATCTAAAGAAAGATTGATGCAGATTGTGATGGGCAGAGAGTTTAATAAGGGCTGAGATACCAGCCAGGTTGCACAATACATCAGGATGGGCAAACATTATTAAGGGGGTATTGGATTTGATAAAAGGCGTCTGGTTGCATGCTGCCTTCTCAGAGCTTTCCCATTACGAAACTTAGAATCACTAAGTAGGCAGTCGGCTTAGTGTAGGATGTAAAAAAAGAGAGGAGAGAATCGGTTTGAGCGTTTGAAATGACATAGCAACTGAGGAGAAAGGGAAAAACACTCCGTGGAGGAAGGGAGTTGACAGTGTGTCTGTATGTGTGTGTGTGTGTGTGTGTGTGTGTGTGTGTGTGTGTGTGTGTGTGTGTGTGCGTGTGTGAGAGATGGGTTGTGTGACAGGGGGGTGGGAGTGATCACCAGTGAGGAGAGAGCTTGCCCATTTATAGACATATTTACTTATGAGAGGTCTGTCAGCAGTAACCGTCTGACACAGTGCACCGCTGCACAAAAGTGCCTGGGCGGTCAGGTCCACCCCCCCCCCCAGTCCTCCCCCCCAAAAAAGTTTCACCGAGAAAACATCCACATTCCTGCAGCAACCGACCCCATAGAGACGCACTGCATCAGCCTTATCAGAGACACTTTAAGTATGGCTATGTTTATTCAGCAGCCACATTAGTGTGGAGCCAGAGAGGCGGACACTTTCAACATGGATTCTTGTGTTTCCAACCTGTTTGACGAGGCGCAGAAGAGCCGGTATCTGCCGCACGAGAGCCACAGCTTCAGCAAACCGTATGGGATGTGAAGTGCAAGGTGAAGTCTTCGCACCTCTGGGGACGCCGTTGCAACACAAATAAACCCAACAAGCACTGTGGGGCTATATACAGCCGCGATAAACACTGAGGGATGCGGAACATGTGTGAGTGTGCAGAATGGCGACGCCGCTCTCTCCGAGGGTCCTTGTGCTTTCGAGTGTTTGCGCGAGGTGCCTGACTGCGCTCGTGAGAGATAGCGGTTTTGAACAGACGCCATGCGAAGGAGAGCGTGTTTGTTTGCTAACAGTGAGGAAGAGAAAGGGAAAGGGAAGGAAGAGGGCGAGGAGCGCTGCGGTGTCTAATGAAGGGAGGCGGGGTGCAGCGAAATCCCTCACTTGTCAAGCTTTTCTCTAATTTTTTTGCCTTTTATTTCTCTTCCTCTTTTTATAATCTCTCTCCCTTTCGCTGCTGCTCCTCAGTCCTTTCTGACCTTGACAGCTGCAGCTCACTGCAGTGGGAAACAAATGCACCACCAAGCCAAAAGCTGCTTCCTGTGGACTCAGAGAGCACATATCTATATCTGTATTAACTTTTACAATGCTCTTCACAAGAACTGAAGGTTAACCTTCAGTTCTTGCTGCTGCGCTGTTGGCTGAAAGACAAACATACCGATTGATTATTGGTCTGCCCTGATGAAATTATAACATCTGCCCGCCTGCTCTGTGTGGACCCTCCCTCCAGTGGCATGGTTGGAATCAATACTATAGACGGTACTTATAGGAAATCCTCTCGCAGGGGGGGACATCTGCTGTGCAGCCTACCCAAGGTCAACACTTGTGGCCCGTGAGAAGTCAGCTGGTATACGATGAAAGCCTGGAGGTCTGACCTTCACGTCAGCCATCCTGCTGGTGGCCCAGTTTGGCTTATATGGCAAACATGACTGGAATTCCAGAGGCCAAAGACCAAAGTATGAAGAAAAACAATATCCTCATTTCGGGTCTTTTAGGAATCGGCTGAAGAACGAGTACGAGTCAATTTTAATGAGAGCATTAATATTGATTCAAGTGTATGTAGAGAATCTCAGGAGTCATAGCATTGTTAGTTAAGCTTGTGTTGGCCCAAGAGGAAAGTAATTAATTACCAGCTCAGGATATCCTAGGATGGATCCTTATGGCCTGACCCAATATATCCATTTGTGCCCCTGCAGGATGTTCATAGCTGAGCAGGTGTATTCTGGTGTATCTCAAAGCCAGGGCCAGATTTGCACTCTTCTTTTGGAACCGATCCAAAAAGAGGCGGCGTGGCACGTGTTGACCGTTTCAAGCCCGGCGCCGCCACAGAATGCAGTCGCGGGTTTCATTTACACCTCGGGGGAAGTGGGGATCTGATGGCACCTTCCTCTCTAAAATGACTTGCCTGTGCAGCCATCCTGTCATGATGGGGAGCTGCAGGATAAAGCCACTGTGTCATTGGGTCAGCAAAAGCTATCTGTCTGTGCATGAAGTGATCTGGAGCCACTCCAGCCTCTTTAAAAATGGAGCTTAGCCTCATCAGCTCGTGCTTGGTGGGTTTGGTTATTAGAGAGCGGGGCAGCAGAGGGTGATGAAAGTTTGAGCGTGGGGGAAGATAAATGTGGGGTTGGTATCTGGCAATTAAACTAACGGCTTGTGATTTGTCTGGGTATTTCTGGACACCTCAAAGTCACGTGTGTGATATTACTGGGTCGGTGTATTCTGAGAGGCAGTGTAACTCTACTGTAGCCGACAGTTTGATGATGCGTTACAGTTTTACGAACTGCTCCAAAGCTGGCGATGAAGGACATACACAGAGAGGGAGGGTCAGGAGAGCAGCTGTTCAAAATATGACCTGTATATGACATCGTCGTTCTTTAAAATAGCCCGAAATATTCCTCCCGTGATGGGATTACTCTGCTGACATTTCACATCGGCCCTGTTGAAAAATAGCCCCGCTTTCTTGGTCTTGTGTAGTGGTTGTGGTGAGTGTAACACCATCAGCGTATGGGAGACAAACTTCTCGTCCTCCCACTGTGTCTACAAAGCAACTTTGTGGAAGTTTGAGGTCTGCAAATACTCTTCTGACATCTAAGCATGGCCTCGACCTCTGGCACGCCTTTAAATAACAGAAAGACCCTCACTTTGGGGCTGTTATAAAAAGCAAATGCACATACCACAGAGGGTAATAGCAGCCTTACAGAATAGACAGGGCTGTTTGTTACATAAAAAAACCCCAAAAAAGCTAAATTATAGGCAAAGGCCTTACATTCGGGGGCCTGCCGGGACGAGGGTGAATGGCAGGGTATTCTTTCTTTTTCGCTCCCCTTGTGCCACCCGCAAGCATGGCCGGCACATGCCAAAGTTATCCTTGGCAGTGATGAGCAGGATGCCGAATCAAAGCATATGAAACATGAAGGGAATGTCAACATACAAAAAAGAAGAGGTCAAAAAAACTCCCCTCGGAGATAAAGCCAGCTCTGCTTTTCAGAGGAAAATGCCTTAAATCGCGTAGCCCGACTAAAAAAGACTCTTGGAAAGCCGACAGGATATCATGTTGCGCCTAACAGTTCAGCTCTTGTGTTACATGTATGAGAGCGTCTGCCGGACAAGTGCTACCGTGCAAGCTGAACTCGCCACACATGCTTTTCGCACGTTTCACTGCCACCAAATCAAATATCCCGTTCTGCTCCAGACAAACCAAGACACTCAACATGACAGCAGCTACACTGCGGCGACACTCTCCCATCTACCGATTCAGATCAGTGTACTGGCAGAGTGTGAAATAAAACATGCTCCCGCTCTCACTCACCTCAGATATTCCGGTAAAGGGAGATCTTGATCCTTCCCAGGTATCACTGGTGTTCTCCTGAACACTGCAACCTCTGTGGTTGATGTATGTGTGTGTGTGTGTCTGTATATGTGTGTGTTCAGTGGCTGCTGTTCTGCTCCTGTGGCTTGTTGACACTGCCCTGCCTCCTGTCTCTGCCTCGGGGCTGCACTTCTGTCGACTGGGACGTCTGCCGGACAGCTGTTTTGGAATTGCTCTCCGGCTCCTATTCCCTTCTGAAGCGAGTCTCCTCCTACGCCTCCCCTCACTCCCCCCCTTCTTCCTCTCCCTCTCTCTCTCTCTCTCTCTCTCTCTCTCTCTCTCTCTCTCTGTCTCTCTGCTTTCTCGCTCCCTCCTCTCCTCTCTAGCAGCACCTGTGCATGTCTGTCTTCTTTTTTAGCAACTCTGTGGTGTTTGAGGATCCTCCTTGCTTTCTGCGCCTTGGTGGAGCTGCAGTGATGAGTGATCACAAGCTCCGGTCTCGCGGAGAAAGGCGCTGGCCTCATGGGATGTCTGGCTGTCTCCCCTCTCTAAAACGGTCCTTCATGATATGCACACTGAGTATACGTTCGCTCATTCCCTCTCCTGCTATTCTGCCTCACCCTGTCTGACTTTGCGACTGCCCGAATCTGATAAGAGCTGTTCTGTGGCAGCCGGCAGACACTTGACTGGACTCCCCCTGTCTCTCTTTTTGAGCCTCTCATCTCTATCCTTATCTATCACACATGCACAGCCATACCCTCATATTGTTTTCTCAAACTATATAAGACTCTGCCTAATCACCAATTCTATTCATATTGCGCATATTTTTGCAAAGCTGCAGCAGGCTGAGGCGGTACACTGTGCGAAGAGACTAATCGCTGCAGAATACTGCAGCACTGCAGCAAATGCAGGGGACGTTTACAGATAAGGTTAATGGACAGCACATGAGTAGTGCTGCGGCAAAAATAGACTTCCTCAGTTGGAATCTGTTTCTCTCTGATGATGTTAAATGCAGAGGCACAAGACAGTGTGTGTGAAGGTTTCTAACCCGATGCCCTCAAGTCAAGGGCATGGCAATCCTTTCCTGTGCATCTCAATTTTTTTATTTTTTTTTGGTTCCATTAAGGTCGTAAAAAAAATCTATCACCTTGGTAACCGGTGCAGCTCAGAGGTGATGTCAAAGAGTGGAGGTGGGGGTTTCTGCTTGTACAGTGTATTACAAAAGGGCAAAGAAGAAAAATGTGGGGGGAGGGGTGCTTGTGTCGCAATCAGTGTGTGTGTGTGTGTGTGTGTGTGTGTGTGTTGTGTGTGTGTCTGCGGTTAAGAAATGTGGTCACTGCATGTCTTCACAAGCAGTAGTAGCACTTTAACAATAATCCTGCCTTGTCCAGCATTATGAAGCAGCACATCCTTCTGCAAACACCGCAAATTCCCACCTCTCCTTCCTGATGAATCTGGCTGGTTGTATTTCATGTGATGCACCACTGTAATAACTAGCCGTACATAATGCTTTGCAAAGCATGAATACGTGGTTGTTTTGTGGACGGCTTGCCTTGCTGAGGCGCCCTCTATTTAACTTACAAAGGCGTTATTTAGCTGTTAAACAGCAGTTGTGAGTGAAGCTCTTTTAGCATGGTGTTGTGGAGTCGCCTTAGGGTGATGTCATCGCGGCGTCCATGTGGCCGGCACATGATCCGGTTGTAGAACACACAACACTGTCTTCTCATTTAGGAAGTCAGTGGTAACTTCCTAATAAGGCAATAATGGGTCAAAAGGGTTTCTAAGTTGTAGATAATAACTTTAAAAAATGGTTTGTAAATCATTTAATTGACTTTTTACATGGAAAATGCACATTAATCATCTAATCTGTAAATATTCCCGCGTTAGCCAGCTGGCTAACTGCGGTCCTTTGGGCAACATGTTCTAAAACCAACAGCTCTTTTTCACAGGAGGCATTTCGACTTGTTATAGGATGAAAAGTACAGTCACTAATAACATACGATGCCTCTGTTTCATTCAACTGTCCCCATAAGCCATGACAGTGTAACACCTCTTCCTAACGGGACGCGACGCGAATGAGTAAACATCCGATTGTTTCATGTTTTACCCAATGAAGATGTCCTAACCTGCTCCGTGCGTCTGCGAACAGGCTGTTTGAACAAACACTCGCCCTTGTTCTCCACCTCCAACCTCCAAAATCGACTCTGACAGTAACTGAGAGTTAATCAATATCACTCTCTATTACATAGAGAGCAACATCGCTCGTTGTATATGAGGACAATTATTTGTTTGCGCTTGCTTGTGTTTAAGGAAGAGGTGTGAGCCAGCATGCACAATGCCAGGACCCCAACACTGTAGCAGCTAAATGGAATTCAGCCATATGCATATGCAATATGATTATTTACCGCTTATATTTTTCTTACTGTTATGCCAAAATGTCCTCCATTAAAAAGGCATATTGAAGAGTAGGTTCAGAAATACAAGCAAAGGACACAATAACGCAAATAAAACAGTAAAACATTTGCGTTATAGTTCAGTTACGTCATTAAAAAAAGAAGAATATGGATGGGCAAGTTGTGAAATATCGTTCTGTCTGGAACAAAAGCCATTGAAGAGCAACTTTTTACCATTTACAACTCCAGACTTAATGGATTGGACCAGGGGTCACCAACCTTTTTTAAACTGAGAGCTACTTCAAGGGTACCGAGTAGTACGAAGGGCTACTTGTTTGATACAAACTTCCGGAATAACAAAGTTGCACAGATCACCTTTTAATAATGATAATATATGTGAAGAGACTGTTTGAGCACATGTCAGTTAATTATTCCTCACAATAATTATTAAGAATGATTTCCACAACAATGATGGTATAGCTACAAATACATATTTAAACATGCAACTTTTATTTCTGTTAATCTGTTTCAACATTTGAAAGTCAGAGGTATCACGTCTGATATTTTTGTATCATCACATGATCAAAGCCGGTTACTTTTGCACATAGCGCCTGCTGGTGAATGATGCAGTGGTAATGTCGACATTTTGGGAAGTCTGGGTCACCTTTGCATTGCGCAATGAAGCCTGCATGCCGGCCCGTCATCGCGGGAGCCCTGTCTGTTGTCACCGACACAAGCTTTTCCAACGGTACCTTTTTCTCCACGAAGAAACTAGTAACCAGTCTGGTCTATAGCCGAGCGGGGGATCCAACCCTCCGAGGCGCGCGAGCGTCTTCGGGCGCCCGCGTTCAAACCTCTAGTCTGGGCCTTTTCGGTCGGATTGCGTTGCCTCGCCTCTACCCCCGCCACCCCTGAGTTGTTGCCCCGCGGCCTGTTTCCGAGGATTTACGGACCTGACGACGGGGTGCGCTCGCTGCGCGCGTCTGGCGCCAACGGGAAGCGCCCGCCATTCGGAACCTGAAAACCTAGTGCGGTGGCCTCGTCGCTGTCCGCCGTGCGCCTCCGGGTCCCCAACTCTCTTATGACAAGAAATATTGTCATTTTAAAATCTACACTAATGCAAGCGTTTTTGATTAAAAAAGAACAGCAACTACAATTTTAGACGGAGCTCCAATGGTGACTAGTGCTATTTTTAGAACATGTCTCGCGGGCGACTCACGTGGTCCCTGCGGGCGACAGGGTGCCCGCGGGCACCGTGTTGGCTACCTCTGGATTAGAGGAAGAACCCTTTAGTTACATGTTGGAAGTCATGGTCCAATGCATTTCCCTTTGTAATAAGTCTGCACTTCTAAATTAGTATAAATCAATGGC